CTTAAGTTGATTCTGTATGTAAGTCAGAACTGGCGGTCAGTTTCAGCAGTGGCTGAATCTGGATGCCAGTTCCGACTTACATACAGATTCACCTTAAGAACAAACCTACAGTCCCTATCTTGTACGTAACCCGGGGACTGCCTGTACTGATGAGACTGCAAGTTTGGCTGTTAAAAGGCCTCATAGCTGGTGCTGCGTGAATCTCATTAAAGAACCAAGATGATACAACATCCGAGCCTGTGTTCAGTGGATTGAAAACTGGCTAATGGGCAGATCTCAAAGAGAGAGTTTACGTGTTGAATCATCATCCAGTGGGAGCGATTCTGAGGGGGACTTGCAAGGACTGGGTGCAGGCCCAGCACTATCTGATATTTGCAGGTAGTGATCTGGCAGTAACTGTAGAATCACTGCGGTAACACTGATGGGTGGGACAAAGATCAGGGGAGTGCCAAACACTGCTGAGTACAGGGCAGCCCTACACTGCAGTCAGGAGCACGAGGAGAGCCGGGTCTGTGCAGACAAAATGCCTTGGGCTGCAGCCAGAGACAAGAGAGAATCCAGGACGATCCCTGCCAGCCAGCCCTGCACAATGGGCGCAACAGCCCAGAAAGCCGGGCTCTGAAAGAGATGATGAGGTCACAGTGGGCAAGGTACTGAACCTGAGCACCCAGTCGGATTACAGCAGCAGGCAGGAGGGGACAGGCGCTGGCTGCTGATTAGTGATAGAAATGCAGCTGTGTTAGTCTGGTTTCGCTGAAACAAAAATCAGGACTACGTAGCACTTTAAAGACTAACAAGATGGTTTATTAGGTGATGAGCTTTCGTGGGCCAGACCCACTTCCTCAGATCAATATGGCTGCTGATTGTACCTGAGCTTATCAGCAGCAGGCAGGAGGGGACAGGCGCTGGCTGCTGATTAGTGATAGAAATGCAGCTGTGTTAGTCTGGTTTCGCTGAAACAAAAATCAGGACTACGTAGCACTTTAAAGACTAACAAGATGGTTTATTAGGTGATGAGCTTTCGTGGGCCAGACCCACTTCCTCAGATCAATATGGCTGCTGATTGTACCTGAGCTTATGGCATTTCTCAGACTGACACTGGAGTCCTACTGACAACTTGTGTGTGTGTGGGGGGGGTGTCATGCTTTAAAAAGTTGGAAAAATGGTGCAGGGTGTAAAGAGCCACCAACACAGTCCCAGGGCTGGAGAAACTGTGTCTCTTGATGCCTTTCGCTTCCAAGGTGAGGCTGAAGACACTCACTGCACTGAGTGTCGGAACAGAAAGTGGAGAGGGGAGGGGAGGAGGGAGCATGAGCAGCATCACAAGGTGAAAGTACCTGGGACTAGCAGGCTCTGCAAAGTACCAGACAGAAGCGTAAGAAGAGGGAATGGCTGGACGCTAAAGGCAAACTCACTGACATTAGAAAAGGCACAACAGCCATCGGCAATGTAATTAACCATTGGAACAAGCTACCACGGGACGTGGTGGATTCGCCATCTCTGGTGCTTGTCAAGGCAAGACTGGGGGTGTGTTGGGAAGAGAGACTTTAGTCCAACACAAGTCATGATCTCATTACAAGGGCGAAAGGATGAAATTCATTGGTCCCAGCTGTCCAGGGTCACAGACTGGATGATGTAATGGCCCCTTCTGGCCTGAAAATCTGACTCTCTGAGGTCCTGTCCCCATCTGACACTGCGTTTGTACGTTAGTCACTGCAGCCTCGGCACCTACGTGAGTGGGGGGGAGCAGATTTCTGAGTGTCACTTACCCTGGGTGGGTTCTTCATTGTCTCTCCCCTTCCGTTTTAGCTGAAAGATTTGTAAAAAAAAAACAAGCCGTTACTTGCAAACCTATTGTCAGGGCAAAGAGAAACCTAGATAAAGCTGCAACCCATCCCCTTGCCACCTCCAGGGTACTTTTTCCATGTGCTTGTCCAGCACTGGCTGGGCTCTCACTCGGTTTGCTGCAGTAATCCTGTGCCTCTTCTCTTGCATCAGGGTCTTACCTTTCCTTGGGAATGACTGCCCTCAAAAAGCTCTTCTGGCCCCTCCAACAGATCCCAAAACTGGGAATGGGATCAGGGTCAGAAACTACAAAACATGCCTCCCACTCTGCAGAGGTTGAGCTGAATGATAATGAAAGGAAAAGAGATTGTATGTTTGGGGGAATTTTTTAAATAGAAAAATACTCCCCTCTGCTTCAGAAGAACAAGGCTCAGCCAGGTGTGAAACACTATGGCTACATCTAGACTGGCATGATTTTCCGCAAATGCTTTTAACAGAAAAGTTTTCCGTTAAAAGCATTTTTGGAAAAGAGCATCTAGATTGGCATGGACGCTTTCGGAAAAGCACTTTTTGCGGAAAAGCGTCCGTGCCAATCTAGACGGGGGTTTGCGCACGAAAAGCCCCAA